CCCCAAAACCCCAAAACCCCAAAACCCCACAAAGCTAAAATAGAAAACAATTTGGAATTTTAGTAATTAAATTAAGATTACTCTTATTTATTGTATCTCAGTACATTCAAATCTTATTCTAAAATTAAGCCCTGTTAATTCTGGAGTTTGAAAATAGTATCTAGCTTACTCTATCACTTTTATACTACGCATTCTCTTGTTTAAAGACTCCATAGACAACTTCGAATTTTTGTTTAAAGTTATTAAATTACTCTATCTAGGCCATATTATTATTATCTTGAGCTATTCTTTCTAGTTTATTATACCAAGCCTTAGCAGCTACTTTAGCTGTCTCGTAGTAACCTTGCCTAGCTAACTTTGAGCTCTATTAAATTGCATTAAGTCCCAGAATCTCAATATTAGCATTTTTCTCAAGAAACTCCTTATCACTTGAAATTTATGTCTGGGAACTAATTACTCTCATGCATTTTGAGCCATTTAATGCAGTATAATAAATCTAGACTTAGAATGGCAGCTGATTAAGCTAAGTCAAATCAAAATCTTGCATTTCAATAAGATCCTTGACAGACTTTAATTTGTATTCAAATGTCACATCTGTGTCTTCATTGATATTTCCAAATTGCTTAGTCAAGATTGTTTTATTACAGCTTAGATTTTAGTCAACCTCATTTCTAAACTATAGAGCTTTGTGAAGTTTTACCTTTAGACAAACGTTTGTTGCTAAAACTTTTCTGTTAAATCTCTTCATAAAGTTGTCTCTCAGCTCGACAGGATCAACTCTTTCGATTTGACCTCCACTCAATTCAACTACTGGTGAAATATCATGAATTTTGCAATCTTGACCAATAAGTGTGACTATATTTACAGTTACTCCTTTTTCTTAAGCTAATTCACCCAATTTCTAGTAAAATTAAGCAGATTCTAATTTATTCTGAGGCTTATTGAGAGCTCCTAGACCTATATTTGCAATACCGTCAGTGCAGACAATAACCTAAGATCCGGATGATCCCTCTCCTGCTATTGATATTGAAGATAGAATTGCAGGACCTAGTGCTGTGTTTCTCTCAGTATTAACCTTAACAATTTTATATATTAATGGACTCCAGCATTGAGATATAGGATTAGAGAATTATTTTTTAGCACAAGCAATACTTTTACTTACTATAAGCTCATAATCTCCAAGTTATTTGTATGATATTTCTTCTGTATTTCTCTGGCCATCTCCAATAATACTTATTCTATCACCAAATGTGACTGCTCCAACTTTTCTGTTAGGATGCTCTTTTGCCATTTCCTTGAATTCTGCTGAAATTACTGAATATACACAATCTAGCCTACTCCAAGCTTTTGAAAGTGATATTAATTTCTAATCTTTTGGCACGAATTACTAATGAGCAATGTTATTCATACTGTCAGAGATATCCAAGCAATAAACAACGGAGATGTCATTCTAAGACTATAGATTGTTGGTTATCTCTTTTTCCTCCTCTTCCTTAAAAGGTGTTTCTAGGATATAGTCGATTGTGTCACTTTTTGGAATATTTTCCTATGCTATATCTACTAAATTTTTGTGATAGCAGAATTCACAATTCCAGACTTGTTATGAGTTTTCTTAAGCAATTATACTAAATTTATTAAAGATTCCCTGGCAATTATCGCAATCAGTGTTAAATGAGTTTTAGAAATATATAGGGTTACCAATTGCAAGTTCAGTACCATATTTTAGACAACCTAAGGATATTGAGAATACATTAGTATCTACTTCATGCTTATATGATCTTTTTTCTTCTGTCAGACTAGGTATCTAAGCTATTTTAGAGGGCGTTTACATTTTCTTGAATCCTGCTGAACTCTTTGGCTGCTATTTTTAAAATGAAATTTTTTTTCTTGAACTACTAATTGCATTTTGAGGTTGGACATTCATATTAAAACTAATGTCTTAAGAGAGGGAATTTCTATTACTTTTGTTATTTAAACTTTTTTAATTGGAATTCAAATATTTGGCAGGCTAGATCATGTTTAACTGATCTTGAATTTCATTATTCGATTGATCCTATTTGCTTTCTGAGAAACATGACATAGATTTCTATTAATTTTCAATTGATTTTTTTATCTGATGAAAAGGCTATATCGTCTGGGTTTAAGACAATTGGTGCTAAATTTGCCTAGGCTGTATGTTTTATGGTTAAATAACTTGCTGATATTGCTTATAGATTTGCTTTTAATAATTTGGTTGCTTTTTAGAAACCATATCATCTCAAAGTTCATCAAAGTCTACTTCTTCAAATGAAAATTCCTCTTCTGAAATATTTAATTAGTCATCATTATTATGTTTGACTTCCTCCTCTAAACTCATGAAATTATCTTTAGAATAATCTTTAACGCTTTTATTTTGAGTGTTTTGTATTAGAATTTTTGCATTAGCATATTTCTACAAAAATCTTTCTGATATGTATGATTATTCACTTGCTCCCTCCATTTTCTTGATTCGGTACTAGAAGAATTAATCTGTCTAAGGTTTGATTGGGATTAACTTTTAAATAAATATATTGTTATTAGTTTCTTCATTTTACAGAAATAAATATACAGAATTCTATTAACTATTTAGCAGGCAATGATTTTGACTTATTTGAGTTCTATATATTTGTCAGAATCTTATTTACATTTTTATTTGATTAAATTTGACTGTACGGGGTTTTGGGGTTTTGGGGTTTTGGGG